ACACACAAATACAAAGGAACATAAGGAACTACTATCAGCAACTATATGACAGTAAAATGGACAACTTGGAAGAAATGGACAAATTCTTAGAAAAGTACAACCTTCCAAAACTGAACCAGGAAGAAACAGAAAATCTTAACCAACCCATCACAAGCATAGAAATCAAAACTGTAATCAAAAATCTTCCAACAAACAAAAGCCCAGCACTAGATGAATTCACAGCTGAATTCTACCAAAAATTTAGAGAAGAGCTAACACCTATCCTACTCAAACTCTTCCAGAAAGTTGCAGAGGAAGGTAAACTGCCAAACTCATTCTATGAGGCCACCATCACCCTAATACCAAAACCAGACAAAGATGCCACAAAAAAAGAAAACTACAGTCCAATATCACTGATGAACATTGATGCAAAATTCCTCAACAAACTAGCGAACAGAATCCAACAACATATTAAAAAGATCATACATCATGACCAAGTGGGCTTTATCCCAGGGATGCAAGGATTCTTCAATATTCAGAAATCAATGTGATAACACCACATTAACAAATTGGAAGATAAAAGCCATATGATTATCTCAATAGATGAAGAGAAAGTCCTTGACAAAATTCAACACCCATTTATGATATAAAAAAAAAAAACTCTACTGAAAGCAAGCATAGAAGGAATGTATCTCAACATAATAAAAGCCATATATGATAAACCCACAGGAAACATTATCTTCAATGGCGAAAAATTGAAAGCTTTCCCCCTTAAGTCAGCAATAAGACAAGGGTGCCCACTCTCACCACTACTATTCCACATAGTTTTGGAAGGCTTAGCAACAGCAATCAGAGAAGAAAAAGAAATAAAAGGAATCCAGATGGGAAAAAAAGAAGTAAAACTCTCACTGGTTGCAGATGACATGATCCTCTACATAGAAAATCCTAAAGACTCTGCCAGAAAATTACTAGAGCTAATCAAAGAATATAGTAAAGTTGCAGGATATACAATTAATACACAGAAATCCCTTACATTCCTATACACTAACAATTAGATAACAGAAAGAGAAATTAAGGAAACAATTCCATTCACCACTGCAATGAAAAGAATAAAACATTTAGGAATAAATCTACCTAAAGAAACAAAAGACCTATATATAGAAAACTATAAAACACTGGTGAAAGAAATCAAAGCTGACACAAATAGATGGAGAAATATACCATGTTCATGGATCAGAAGAATGAATATAGTGAAAATGAATATACTACCCAAAGCAATCGATAGATTCAATACAGTCCCTGTCAAGCTACCAATAGTATTTTCCACAGAACTAGAACAAATAATTTCACAGTTTCTATGGAAATACAAAAAACCTTGAATAGTCAAAGCAATCTCAAGAAAGAAGAATGGAACTGGAGGAATCAACCTGCCTGACTTCAGGCTCTACTACAAAGCTACAGTCACCAGGACAGTATGGTCCTGGCAGAAAGACAGAAATATAGATCAATGGAACAAAAGAAAGCCCAGAGATAAATCCACACACCTATGGACACTCTATCTTTGACAAAGGAGGCAAGAATATACAATGGAGAAAGGACAATCTCTTTAACAAGTGATGCTGGGAAAACTGATCAACCACTTGTAAAAGAATGAAACTAGAACACTTTCTAACACCATACACAAAAATAAACTCAAAATGAACTAAAGATCTAAATGTAAGACCAGAAACTATAAAACTCCTAGAGGAAAACATAGGCAAAACACTCTCCGACATAAATCACAGCAGGATCCTCTATGACCCACCTCCTAGAGTAATGGAAATAAAAGCAAAAATATACAAATGGGGCCTAATTAAACTTAAAAGCGTTTGCACAACAAAGGAAAGGTGAAAAGCAAGGTGAAAAGACAGCCTTCAGAATGGAAGAACATGATAGCAAATGAAGAAACTGACAAAGAATTAATCTCAAAAATATACAAGCAGCTCATGTAGCTCAGCTCCAGAAAAATAAATGACCCAATCAAAAAATGGGCCAAAGTACTAAACAGACATTTCTCCAAAGAAGACATGCAGATGGCTAACAGACACATGAAAAGATGCTCAACATCACTCATTATCAGAGAAATGCAAATCAAAACCACAGTGAGGTACCATCTCACATCGGTCAGAATGGCTGCTATCCAAAAGTCTACAAGCAATAAATGCTGGAGAGGGTGTGGAGAAAAGGGAACCCTCTTACACTGTTGGTGGGAATGCAAACTAGTACAGCCACTATGGAGAACAATGTGGAGATTCCTTTAAAAACTGGAAATAGAACTGCCATATGACCCAGCAATCCCAGTTCTGGGCATTCACACCGAGGAAGCCAGAATTGAAAGAGACACATGTACCCCAATGTTCATTGCAGCACTGTTTATAATTGCCAGAACATGGAAGCAACCTAGATGTCCATTGGCAGATGAATGGATAAGAAAGCTGTTGTACATACACACAATGGAATATTACTCAGCTATTAAAAAGAATGCATTTGAATCAGTTCTAATGAAGTGGATGAAACTGGAGCCTATTATACAGAGTGAAGTAACTCAAAAAGAAATACAGCAATACAGTATATTAATGCATATATATGGATTTTAGAAAGATGGTAATGATGACCCTGTTTGTGAGACAGCAAAAGAGATACAGATATAAAGAACAGACTTTTGGACTCTGTGGGAGAAGGTGAGGGTGGGATGATTGGAGAGAATAGCATTGAAACATGTATATTACCTTATGTGAAATAGATCACTGGTCCAAATTCCATGCTTGAAAAGGGGCACTCAAACTCAGTCACTGGGACAACCCTGAGGTATGGGATGAGGAGGGAGGTGGGAGGGGGGTTCAGGATGGGGAACACATGTACACCCATGGCTGATTCATTTCAATGTATGGCAGAAATCCCTATGATATTGTGAAGTAATTAGCCTCCAATTAAAATAAATAAATAAATAAATTTTAAAAAATAAAAAGAGGAGGCCTTCTATTTTTCTTTGAAGAATGGAAATACTTCAATTGTATTTAAATAAATGAGGTCATAATGCTATTAAATTTGGAGGGTGGAGGGCCATATTTGAATGTATTAATTTACCAACTCATTATTTTAATAATTGGTAAAAGGAAGTAATCAAGCACTTATGCTATCTTTCCTATATTAGCCATGTCTTAGAGTAACTACATAATTGTTCAGAAAAAATTTTATATGGAAGGAATAGGTTGAATAATAAATAAAAAATGAATGACAAAATCACAGTAACACTATTTTGAAAGTACTACTAAGTCAATGGATCCAAAATGGTCAGCAACAGCTGCTAATTCAAAAGGAGAAACAACCAGATATCATGTGCTTCCTAACAACACATGCAGAGTAACTTTGTCAAAAAAAAGCGAACCAAGATGACAAACTTCTAGATACAGATACCAATTAACTGGAAATAGAACAGAGGAACAAGTTAAAAGAAACCATTAGGAGGCAATCAGCAAACTCCCAAACTCAGGGCACTATACTGAGCAGTTCTTATCCATAAAATAGAGAGAGAGGACTATAGATTAGGGAAGGTTTAAGAGATAGGTGAACTAATTGCAATTTATAAACTTCGTTACAATTCTGATTTCAACTAGTAAAGTGTATGGGGGAGGGACCCATAAAACAATGAGGACTATTTGAACACTGGACATTAATATACGGAATTATTTTATGTTGCTTTTAGGTGGAATAGTAGCATAGTTCTTTTATTTTTTTATCCTTTCTATAGACATGACAAAATATTTAGAGTTGAAATTATGTCTGAGATTTGCTTTGAAATAATCTGAGTTGTGGGGAAACACAGAGTGAAACTTGCAAATTGTTTCAAGTGGATGATTCTCTACTTTTGTACAAGTTTATAATTTTCCATATAAAAAATTATAAAGACAAAGAATAGAATGCCTCCTGTTGTAAGGCTAGGCATAAAGAAATGACATAGACACAGAAAAATTCAAACATCAGGGTTACTTAAGAAAGAACAACAAATATTAGAGAAAAACTTGTGACTTTAAGTCAGTTGCAATAAATTATTTCCTTTATGCACTATACTAAGAACATCAGAATCAACTGGAAAACATAGTATTTACTAAGGAAAGGGGAGAACACAGCACCACCCCAGATACAACAGTCATTTAGTCTACAAAGCAAACCATGGGCTCATGAAAACCTGTGATATCTGTACAGAAGCTATTTGCCTAATAGCCTTGTATTGATAACGACTGTTCAATTAACATCTTCACTACACTTATTACACACACGAGAAATCTATGAAGGATCTTAAGAGACCTTTAGTGACAAACAGGAAGGAGCCTGTACATCTCTTAGGGGTTTCTCGCAGGTAACTATAGCTAGCTTGGAACAAAAGTGATCCTAAAATGGCACTGATATGAAAGCTCTTCATTCAATGCCACGTTTAAATGCCCCCGTCTCCAAAACGTAAAATAAATCTGCTTTCATCCTTTTAAATCTTATGGGACTGGAAAGTATCTTTGTATTACTGGAAAAAAACGACAGTATTCTAGTTGATTTGGGAGAAGGTTGTTCTGCTCACAGAAAGATGCTGTATCTCAGAAACACTTAAGATGCTCTGCAGACGGAAATAGGGGGAAAATGTGCCCCCCCCCCATTTGAAGTTCTCCTTTCTTAGCCTCATTTCCGACAATTTTTTAACATCTGAAGTTATCTGGCCATCCTTAGAAGTGCAACTTATCCTCTCAAGGCACGAAAAAGTTGCCTAAGTCCGAGAAATGAGTCACTTTGCTTTGATGAGTAATCTCAGGTGTCCTGGATCCTCGATCCGAAGAAAGAGGGGAGGGGGCGTCAGATATGCAGACGGAAGAAGACAGGCCGCTGCGTATTGGATGGCAAGAACTCGATATTCCTATAATTGCGTCATTTCGAACCCAATTGGGTCCAGATGTTATGCGCACCGACGGATTACCGTCTCGGAAACTCTCAATCAGACGCAAGCGAAAGGAGAGGAGGCGGTTAATTAAATATTGAGCAGAAAGTCGCGTGGGGAGCGTGTCACGTGGGTCCCGAGACTCGGCGAGCCTGAGATAAATACCGCGCGGCAGCCAGCCGGCGAAAGAGCGCGCTGCTGACCTCCTCCATCGTTGCTGCAACCGAGAGTGCGCAGCGCCCCGCGAGTGCTCAGACCGGCAGAGGAACCCCCCGGGCGGGTCAGCCGCGGTAAGTGCCCGCGCGCTATAGCGCGCGCTTTCCGCCCGGCGCACCGCTCCGAGGCGGCGTCTAGCAGGGCTGGATGGGCGGCTGCTGCGGACAGCGGGGAAACAGCCGGGGGACCGCGAGGAAACGGGTATCCCAAGTGTTTTGTCCCTCCTTGTCTTCCACCCGCAGAGCCTCCTGGCTTGAAGGTATGGCTTGGTGGTTGGAAGCTGGGGATTTGGGGTCTAGGAAGAAGGGAATTTGAGAAGATTTTAGGGCTTGATTTTCTTTCCTTAACGTGCACATGCAGGACTTTCGCCCTTCAGGCGGCTTGTCTTGTTTGAATCGGCCCTGAGTTCTGTCATGGGATCAAAAATTCTTTTTTTTTTCCCCCTCTGCCTCTTCTCCCTACCCTTCCCAGAAATCCAACATGAAAATCCTTGTGGCCTTGGCAGTGATTTTTCTCGTCTCCACTCAACTATCTGCAGAAGAAATCGGAGCCAACGATGATCTCAATTATTGGTCCGACTGGTCCGACAGCGACCAGATCAAGGTGAGACCCGGTCCCTAGTTGGCCTGCGCCCTTCTTCACGGGTTTAGGAGCTGTCACTTACCACCATCCCACCATCAGTCCCAGCGACAGCACCCTAGTTACCCTAGCGGGCTCCGAGATCACAACCAGAGGCAGTGGGGCGCGCTGCGAGGGCTTGTAAAGGAACGTCATTCCCCTGGGTCCCGCAACCAAGAACCAAGTTTCCTCTGCATCGTCTGGTCTCCGGAACTCTCTGGAGGAATAATACCCTCCCTAAGCATCCCGGGATCCTCACAAGACTGGAAACCTCACAAGGTTTCATCCCCTGGTAACGCGGATTTCGGGGGACTAGTCCCGCTGCAAGGGCCTGGCGTTTGGAAACGCTGGGCAGGGACAGAGGAGAGCGCGTCCGACGCAGGCAAAAGCAGGGGCAAGTGGCCAGTTGCTGGGGGCCTGGAAAGGCGCAGGTGGGTGGGAAGCTAACTTCCGGCCTAGACTTTTATTTTACTGACCTGAAGACACAGCCGCAAGTTTTCCCTTAGATTGCTCGCAGGCTGTTTGCGCGAGGGACCCACATGCAGCAGGAACAGTGAGGATCCCTCACTGCTAGTCGCTTGTAAAGCGCTGTCCCCTTACCTACCACCCCCGGCCAGTCCACCCCCTCCCCCGTCACACACACCTGTGTGCATTTAGGGCGTTGATAGGTCGCCGAAGCCAGCGCTTAAGATGAGACAAAGTCCGGTAGCTGAGCGGCAGCTGAGTGAGGGTCCGGGTGCTGGGAGCAAAGAACCGAAAGCGGGGCGTGGAGGCTCTGCGCGCCGGGCTAAAGGCAAGGCTACGCTAGCCGGAGGCGGTGCAGGACACCGCCTGGGAGGGAAGGGGTGGGGAGAGGGAGCGCCCAGGCTTGAGGAAGCTCGGCTTCCTCTCTCCTCGGAGCTGGTTCTCTACTCCTGGCCTGGCCCCACCGCCAGGATTTGCCCAAGGCTGGAACGCACTCCGGATTCCCAGTGCCTCGAACTGGTTGCCTTCAAGCCCGTTAGTCCGTGTGTTTTTCCTCTAGGAGGAAATGCCCGAACCTTTTGAGCACCTTCTGCAGAGAATCGCCCGGAGACCCAAGCCTCAACAGTTCTTCGGATTGATGGGCAAACGGGATGCTGGTGAGATGGGCAGTCGTCCCTCCCTGTCTCTCTGGGCAACCCACACACATACATCCCCCCCCCCCCCACCACGTCTCTTAGCTCGTGCTCCGAGCACCCCGTCTCTCTTGCTCTATGAGCAGAGAGTTCCACTCTCAAAGGGATATATCTCCTGCGGCGCGACATTCGCCCTCACCTCTCTGACGCACAGGTGCCCACGGAGGGAGGGAGATCCATCTGAACCACCAAGGACAGGGAGCAGCCTTAGCTAAGTGCTTCCTTGCCCGAGGATCCAAACTGGCAAGCAACAAGAAGAGTCAGGGTACTCAGCAGGTTCTCAGTGCTGGTGGAAACTGACTTTGGATCACTGGGGTTAGAGTAGATTCAGCTGCCAGTGTCTTCTGATAGAACAGTAATTTCCTTGAATTCATCACACCATCAGTGGAATGTGTGGTTAACGTCAATTTGTCTCTTGTCAGATTCCTCAATTGAAAAGCAAGTGGCCCTGTTAAAGGCCCTTTATGGTAAACATTTCTATAAATCTTTATTTTACTATTGTGAATGCACATGTGTGAAAAGGAAGAAAGCCTTTTGTGGACTCAAATACAGATTTTTGATAATGCCTGTTGAATTGAAGAGATGTTTACTCTCTCTCTCCTGAGAATCAGAGGTGATGGACCATGAATACATGTCTCTCATAAGGAAACGAGAGACGTGGTATGTCCAGGCAATTAGCAGACCTCAGAAGTCTCACAGACCTCAGTTTGAATTTGTGGCCCATGTAAACCAATTAAAACTATTCCTTTTGCTAAAACGTTGCTTTTATTATTAATAATTTGGTTAGCATTTATGGTTCTGCTATATTCCTCAGGATAGTACATGAATGAGAAATGTTGAATTATTTTAAAAATCAATTTGCTTTATAATTCTCTTTAAAAATGTAGCTCCTTTTAAACAAATCTATTTTTTGCTAATTTTATCTTTCTTTCTATAGGACATGGCCAGCTTTCTCACAAAAGTAAGTTCCAAATTATTTTGACATTTATCAAATGCAAATGTAAATTATATTGAATTCCATTTTATATAATATCTAATTTTCTGTTGTAATGTAGAACTTGATCTTTTTAATTAACATGATTTAAGACTACAGGAGACTCATATTACATCCAGAACATAATTGTTTAAAGTTCTGTTGTTTAAACATATCATACCTACCATAAAGATGCATTATATTAAAAATCTTTTAGCTCCCAGCCAAACTGTTGTTGAATTCCTGACCCACAGAAACTGAGATAATAAATATTTGTTGTTATTTTAAACTGCTAAAGAAAGAAAACAGGAGGGAAAAAAGGGAAGGAAAGAGGAATCCTTTAATTCATATAAATTGTTAGTTTTAGGTAAGAATCTCAATAGTAGGGGTAAAAATCCATCACACATTCCTCTTCCATCATTTTCACCCTGCCACTTCCACTGCAAAAACAAAAGCAAAAACAAAAATTGAAGCATTTATAGGCACCTCTGAGTTCATTTTAGTATGTTGGATTCCATGTTGACCTAATTTATTAGTGTAATCCAGCAGTCAGTTACAATGAAGTGAATGTCTGAGTAGAGAATCCATACTAAAGTAAAGATAGAAATGTATCAATAGTTTTGTGATCCCATGATGGGATGGGAGACCTGTCTTTCCAAGCATAGTGAAACATTCTTAGGGCAGCAAAGATGGCAGAATTGTGGCACTTGACAGTCACTAGATCACAGTCTCCTCCTTAATGGAACCAGAGTTGCAGAAAGTCCCAGGGATCCATCTTAATCACACTCACTTAGCCCAAGGTCCAGTCCAACTTGGATTCTGGCTCATCGAGGACAGAGCAGGCCACACTAAGATAGCAGCCATGTAGTATAAACCAAGCTAATGTAGTATAAACCAAGAGACATTCTACTACTACAGTTAAAATAATAATCCTTTCCAAAGGTTTCATCTTTGGAAATAAATAAATTTCATTCATATTTATTTTCTCAGGATTTTACCTTCAAAGGAATTATATATAGCAAAATTCTATGTGATGAAAATAAATGTACTGTTAATTCAAAACATACTTTCTCCAAAGGAAATATTTTAATCCAGTAAAATAGAAATAATGACATTTAGAAATTTATAATTATTAAGTATAGGACTCTGATTTAGCTAAACTTTAGTTTCCTGAGAAATATATTCAGTAATATGAGGATATGTCTATCACACATATGTGAAGTTGACTTCCTGAAAATCAAAGCTTGCTCAAATAGCAACAATATTTAAAGCATAACATAAAACACATAAAATATGAATAAAGTGTACTTGCTAATATTTAGATATAGAATTGAGAAAAGTGCCTTCATTGTATTATTTTATTTACTAAGACTTCCTAGGAGTCTTTATTTCTTCAGGCTCACCAAAACTTGAAATAGTTATGCATTTATTATACAGGCATATATTTGGAAGCTTGCTTTTCTTGGTACTAGTTATAACAGTTTATTTCCTCAGATATATACATATTAAAATACCCCTAAATGTATTTTTCCAGGGCATAAAACAGATTCCTTTGTTGGACTAATGGGCAAAAGAGCTTTAAATTCTGGTATGTATAAAACCATGACTGGACATAAACAGTATCTTAAATCTACTTCTACTTTCTCTAAGGCATTCTTTTCAAACTATTAAACAGGAATAATAAAATTAAAATGAGTACTTATGTTGAAAAAATCTAATTGCAATAAATAAATCCAAGAATGGATTTATAGCTGATTGAGTGAGCTAATACCACAACGTCAGTCTCTTTCTCAAACTCCCAGTGTGTTCCCCTTTTAATCATTACCTAACCTGAATCTTTGAGCTAGTCCAATACCCTTTCCCTTATATCTGTTCGATAAGCTACACTTTACCTTACTGAACTAAGAGGGGTGGGGAAGGAGGAGGGGATTAAAACCAAGCTAATTAGAAAGTCTTACAAAAGGTTAAATCTGACAGTCTTCTAACACAGAAATAAACAAAAACAAATCCATTTTTACAAATCACTTGCTCTTTATGAAATTATAATAGCTCATACTCTATACCTCCTGATGAATGTTTAACACTAGGAGAGTAACATAGTCCATTCCAGTGCCTTAAAAAGGGAAACCATCAAATTATCCTAGAGGGTTATAATCAGTCCTGGCTATAAAACCCTTAAAGAGAAGGAGTGCTACAGTTCTCTTCATAACACAGTTTAATTCTGAACAATTGTTATATATATAAAGGCTGCATATTTCCTTTCTTTTCTTTAATTTCTATATTGTATGTAAATGCCACATGTATAGATCTGAAAACTCATTTCTTAACTTATTCATCATAGTATTTTCAAGGTTAAATAAACCCTATATCATTTTCCTAGAGACTGATACTCTGTTAAGCTCATTCAGGTCTTATAATCCATAGGTTATTTTTCTTGGGAAAGCTATTCAAATTCTCTTTTTACCATCAGTGAAATTAGAATTAAAATACTAATCATGTAATTAATTAGGAATTAATCATCACCCATCTTACCCATTTAGAGTATTTCCAGTTTCCTGAAAATCTATGACTAAGATGTGCTGACTTAACTAATCTGAAAAAGTCAAGCAAAAATGAGGTATTTTAGCCTATATATTGGTTCTCTATCTTCTAAATTTAGATACTACTTCAGTAATTTGGAGGGTTCTCAATTTTAAAGAAGTTGTGAGTGTACATAATGAAACACTAAAATTGTTTTATTGCTAAGTATTATCTTCCAGCTTTTGGAAATGGAATATAAGTTTAAACCACATTGGTGTTATATGTATCAGAAGTGTACACTAGTCCTTATATACCTGTGGTTTTCTTGAAACCATGCCAGTCATCAACTTTTCATTTTCAGAACTGATACAGGTTTCAGAACATGATTAACTTTACAAATAATATGTGCAATTTGGAACAAATTAGATGCTATTAAAGGTACTTAAAATAGTAATATAATTATAGATAGTATTAAATAGAATCATTGTATGAATCACAATCAATCTATGACTAAATCTTTGCTCCTCCATTTTAGTTAAGAAAATATCAAAGGAAAACATGGGCAAACATGTAATCTATAACCAATCAGGTACCTTGGCATATAATTAGTTGAGGCAAGGTTATCGTAGTGTCTATGACCTTCTACAGCCATCTGATCCTTATTCTGTTGTGGCAAAGACCTTTGACAATCTGACAAACCTAGAAACTGCCTTCCCAGGGAAACCCTCATCAGTTCACACACACAAACATTTACGGTTTTAGAGGGTTCAAGGACCACGTGAGAACTTTGCTTCCATTTAAGACATTGTTTTCTGGCTTGATCACTAATCTGTCTTTGGTCAGTTTACATTAGCATTCGCCTCCCTTCTCTGAGGAACAGAATTATATTACGAACGCGTGTCTGCTTTGTACGTGTTTGACATGTAACTATTAAAAACATCAGCTTATTGCTGACCTCACTTAAGTGAATGCTGTGCACCAAGGAGCACCTGCTCAGTGGTGAAGATGGGAAGCCTTTATCTGCCTTCTCTTTCAGCAAACCCTTCTCACCGAGAAAATCGCTTAGAGTGGCATCTATGATTGCTGATGTCTTTCGCAGTTCTTTCTATTTCAAGTATTTTCTACATGCATACTGAATTTTTAAAAGTGCAGTCATTTTAAAAATCATTTATCATGTAAATCTAAGTGTATAAAGTATTAGCTAAAATAATGAAAAATGGACATAAGTATTTTAATCACAACAATCTGATCCTTATTCTTTTGTGGCTACAGACCTCTTTGAAATTATGTTTCCTATAATAATATAATTTGGTGCTTTTTTCTTTCCAGATAGTCAAAGTACTTAAATTACTTGCTAGCTCTATGTTAAATACCTTTGGAAATAGTGATTAATCTTTCACAGGCCATTTAAGGTGCTAGGAGATAAGTTAAACTATGTTGTATTTAGATGGTACAATTACTCTACTTACAGACAATGAGATTGTTTTTAGTCTCATGGACAGTCTGTCATTGGAAGGAATCCAGAGGACAGGAAGAAACCTTCACACTATTAGGTACCCCTATCCTGGTGCCTCAGTGCTAAAGAATCTGCCTCCAGTGCAGGAAACATGAGTTCTACCTCTGGGTCAGGAAAATCCCCTGGCAAAGGAAATGGAAACCCACTCCAGTATTCTTGCTGGAGAAATCCCATGGACAGAGGAGCCTGGCAGGCCATAGTCCATTAAGTCACAAGAATGAGACAGGACTTAACAACTAAACCACCACCACCACATACCAGAAATCAGCAAACTTTTTCTGTAAACAGTCAGGTGGTAAATATTTTAGACTGTGTGAACCATGCAGTCTCTGGAGCAACTACTCAGATCTGCCATTTTAATGTTAAAGTAGGCAAAGACACCTGGAGAAGGGAATGGCTACCCACTCCAATATTCTTGCCTAGAGAACTCCATGGGCAGAGGAGCTTAGTGGGCTACAGTACATGGGGTCGCAAAGAGTCAGACATGACTGAGAAACTAACACTTAACTAACTTAGGCAAAGACAATGCATAAATGAATGGGTGTGGCCATCTTCCAATAAAATGTTATTGACAAGAAAAGATGGTGGACTGGATTTGGCCCATGACCTATATATAGTTGGTTGACTATATCCTGGAATAAAAGTCCCACATTTTGCTTTCATCCTCCTACTATTCCTGTTTACTTTAGGAACTGTCCTTTCTGTAAATCACCAAGGTGTCTGTCACTGCTTGAGAAAGCTATGGAGAATCAATATTGCAATATATTGTGGAAGTATGCTTTGAGGGCATCAAGTCAAGGATGACCAAAATAACCAAGAGTTCTGTGGATAGATCACTGTCAATCAGGATAAAGACTGAGACCCAAACAGAAGATGCACAAATAAGACTCTTAGAAATACTTCAATGGAGGGATAAAGTAATGAGTTTAAAATAAATTTCCTATGCCTTGAACTTTATCTGTGTCAGTGACCCTCTTAACAAACCCTTTACCTTCTCTTTGTTCTCAGTGGCTTATGAAAGGAGTGTGATGCAGGATTATGAAAGAAGACGTAAATAGACTACCTAACATATTTATTGAGCTTCATTTGTGTCAGTGGTCAAGGAAAGGTAAAATGAGACATGCACTATGAGGAATAATTATTTATTTAATAATTGTTGTTTGAGTTTAAAACTCAAAAAGTATTTATTTTTCATATTGTGGCAATATATGTTGTAAAAAAATATGTTGTAATTCTAATATGACAACTCAGTCAGAAGCAGAAATCAGTGGTAATTTCTCACAAAAGCACAGTGTTCAATGAAGTTGTAAAAACCTATCAAAGATATAGTCTCCAAAGAAAGGAATCATTTCTGTTTCTTGGAAGCAGTCACATCAGCTACTACTAAGGAAATGAAATTCACATATAGGCTGTGCTTCTCCATTTGTTTTCATGGTGAAAATGTGCTGAGAGTTGGTATCAAACTGTGTTTGTATCCCTGCAGCATGTTTCATGTTTTGTGACTACATAGAGATGTTTAAAAAGTTTTACTGTGATTCTAAGATCTTTATTTTATTGTACAATGTGTCGTGATGGTTAACATTTTAAATAAAAGAAAAAGTATCTTAAATTGGGTCTTATTCTTTCATTAATCTTTATGTCTAGTTGGCAGCCTTTCTTTTAGTGGGTGAGATATGTTCCAACCTGTTTTGGCTTTAAAATAATGAAACATAAAGCTACTAAATTTCTCTTTCTTGAGGAAAATGACTAAATGTAATCACAGTTTCTCTTTCCCACACATATGCACTTGTTATTATTCAGTCATTGGCATAGGATCATTCATGGAGAAAACAATTACATTCTGGTACCCAAAGAGTAAAGGCTCAGTTCTGTTTACATGTGCTTATGATTCCCTTTTACAAGTAGAGCGACAATCTACTTTAAAGATGCATTTTACTGATTATTTCCTTCTTGAGCAAAACATCAGCACAGCACTATTTCAGCCCTCCTTGAAGCCCAGGGAGAAGTGCACCAGTGTTGGAGTCTCACTAGAACTAAGACACTAAACCAAACTCTCACAAAGGTCACTGGAACATGCAGAAAGATAGGGAGCTGATAATATGGCATCGCCCCCATAACAAAGATAGATACAGCCCCTCTCTTACATTTCTAAGAACTGCCTGTGAATTACTAGTGCCAATAACACTCCAGCAGAAGCACATGTATCAGAAATACTGAGCAATCAGAGGAAAGCTCTTGTGTGTATATTTGAGGAAAGGATTGCCAAGTGCCTTTCTGATTGCACAGTGTTAAATACTGGCAAGTGGTAAAATAACTCAGGACAAGGATTGCTCAGTGAAATAAAATTCTGTGAGTTTTTTCTGGACTAGTGACTGTTTTTGATCAATGTTAAAACCATTTGTGAGACATGAGTGCTAAAGCATGTTTTAACCTTTATATCTTTAAATGAATAATTTGTTCAAAAAAACTCCAAGGAACTGATTTTCCTTAGTACATTTTTTTTTTTTTAGTATTTGAGCTTACTACATATTTAAATAATACAGATTATATTATGATCATCACTTTACAATTGAGGATATGAAGCTCAAGGAAATGTTGAGGTAAGAGATTATGATATGAGAGGAGTCAGGATTAGAATTACAAGGCCAAAATAGCAGAGCAATTTAATATCTAACAATGAGATTGATTAAACTGGCATATTGACACAACTGAAAATTATGGCATCACTTGAAATGGCATTATTGTGTGTTCAGTGACATAGAACAACATATCTGATATGTTGTTAGGCACAGTCCAGTATTTCTGCATTGTATGTTCATATATATTTTTGCATAGATGTTCTAACGGGAAGGAATCATGTAATGGATGAGACTGTGGGGTTCAGAGTCAGACTACTCCATTACTTAACAGCTGTGTGATTAGGGGCAAGTCCCTTAACTTCTTCCTGCCTTATTTTCCTTGTTAGTAAAACTGGACTCGTGATGCCACCAACTAGGATCTTGCACTCTACACAGACAGCAGCCGTATGGCGTCTAGGGGAGGGTCACGGGACATGATGCGTGTCAGGCTTTGAGCATGATCTCCGGCATACTGTGAGCATCCTGTGAATGTTACCTGCTGCCATTATTAGCTGTTCTTCAAAATCCCCAGAGAGAAAATTAGCTCTATATCATAGCCAATAAATGCTTTTTGTAGACACACCGAAGCAGCAGCAGCCGGGGGGTCGATTCTGAACAGTGACCACACAAGTTAAATCTAGAACTGTTTCACAAATTGAGTGGCTCTTTGTGCTGTGCGTCAATGGGCCAGACAGCCCCCACGGCCCTTCGCTCTCTGAGATTCTGTATGTCTAAGCAGCAGGATCCCACCCCCATCAGACAGTCTGCACTCCTGCCTGCTCTCCCTCCAGGCCCAGAAACCTAGCAACAGCTGAGCAGGAAAGAGACAGATTCAGCTCGAAGTTTGTACTCATGAAATATTTACTATTGCTTCCCTTCTGTGGCGTACTTTCTTCAACCAAAATGAGTTTTCTTCACCTATATTCTTTCTAAAATATGTTTATTCTGTTACAAAACAGCAACAAGATCAATCTGTATAGCAAAGTTACCTGAATACTTTATTGCTTTGGTTTGAGGTTTGTTTTTGGGGTTCTGTTTTGGTCAGGATCCAGGGTAAAAATAAATGATGCTCAAGCTGAGTCACAAAGGTGTGGGCAGGATGTGGAGAAGGCAGCAATGGAATGTGGTCTCCAGGCTAGCATCCTTGCAACCACTGCGACCCCTGGGCCTAAAGGATCAAGACGAGGAAGTAAGGGTCTCTGCGCCAAGGGTCAGCTGGTGGCTGTTTTCTTCATAGGAAGATGAACAGACAAAGAATAGTCAACGCGGGGGTGTGAGGAAGAAGAGAGTGAGGCGATCGGTGGCTATGTGCCCCAACCTCACCCTCCTCTTCCTGTCTGGTCTGCTCCCGGTACTTCCATTGGGCAAACCCACCTGGAAAACAAAGGTTTTGGAACTCTGCACACTGTGTCCACTGGAAAGTTGCACAGATAGGGCACCATAGAAGCTGGAGAAAGCTGGTCAGCACATTCGGAGGTAGAAAAGGAAGATAAGATGCCCAATACACCAAGTACTTCATTAGTGAAAGTCACTCAGCTTGTCCGACTCTTTGTGACCCCATGGACTATAGCTCGCCAGGCTTCTCTATCCATGAAATTCTCCAGGCAAGAATATTGCAGCAGGTTGCCATTTCCTTCTTCAGGGATCTTCCCAATCCAGGGATCAAACCCAGGCGTTCTGTACTGCAGGCAGATTCTTTACCACTTGAGCCACCAGGGAAGCCCAAGTACTTCATTATTTTGAATCAAAAGAAAATTCATAAGCAGAAATTCAAATAGAGAAATGAAGAGAGTAAAAATAAAAGTCCTTCTCTGAACACCAATTCTACTCCCCAAGGATACAGCTTCATGTGGCTCCATCCAAAGAAGCAAACAAAATTAATCTTATTTGAACTTGAGCACATGCTGAAACCTCCCCTTTTAACACCAAATCATTATAAGCATTTTTTAAAAGATACCTACATTTTTACAAGAAATTAATAAATACATTGGGATTTGTGAAAAACAGAATAGGGACTTTTGGTGAACCCAGAAATTGTCCGGAAGGACCAGATTTCTGGAAAAGAAAGCACAGGGAAGCCACAGCCCTGTCAAGAAAATGCAGGGGTCGCAGAGGAAAGTGTCAGCCCCAGAAATGAGCACTGCAGAAGGGACTGTTCATCAGCAACCCTGGTGCCAGGAGATCCAGAAACAAAAATCCAAAAATTCTTTAGGAAAATAATATCTAGCCAAACTAAGAATTTGTGAAAGAAGAAAAAGCAACTAAAAGCTGTTAGCTTAAGCCTTTATTAACCATCACAACAGGCTCAAGATGGCTTTTCTGCTGGAGAGCAGAGAGCCCAAAGAATTCACGTATTAGATTGATGAAGGTCAGAGTTCCACTGTTTGTAGAACTATTGTCAGAACAATCCTGAGAATTGTTCAGTGTTCTGATTCTCAGAAGGTGTGGGGAACTTAGACTGCTGCATTAGTCACAGGACAGGATTCAGAGTCTGCATTTAATAAGACCTATCTAACACTAAAGACATCACCAAAAAACTGTTAGAATAAACAAATTCAGTAAAGCTGCAGTAATTTTGCAGAGTACAAAATTAACATATAAAAGTCATCTTGTGATTCTATATACTGGAAACTAATTAGCTGACAATGAAATAAAGAAAAGAATCCTACTTATAATAGTGTCAAAAACAATAAAATAGGAATAAATTTAATCAATGAGTGAAAATCTGAACACTGAAAATCATAAGACATTGCTGGAAAAAAATGGAAGAAGACACAAATGGGGAAAGATTCTGTGTTCATGGATTGGAATAATTAATATTATTAAAGTGTCCATACTACCCAAAGTGATCTACACATTCTATGTAGTCCCTATCAAAATTCCAATGGCCTTTTTCACAGAAATAGGAAAACAATCCTGAAACGTGTATGGAACCACAAAAGACCCCAAATATCCAAAGAAATCTGGAGAAAGAAGAAAAAATTGAAGGTATTACACTTCCTGGTTTCCAACTATATTACAAAACTACAGTATATCAAAATAGCATGACGCTAGCACAAAAAAGATTTAGAGACCAAAGGAACAGAATCAAGAGCCCAGAAATAAATCCACACACACAGTCAACTAATATTTGACAAGGAAGCCAAGAATACTCAATGGGGAAAGGATAGCCTCTTCAATAAATAGTGCTGGGAAAACTGAATATTCACATGCAAAAAAAAAAAAAATGAAATTGGACACCTATCTTTCACCTCTCACAAAAAGTAACTTGCAATGGATTAAAAACTAAATGCAAGACCTTCAACCACAAAACTTCTAGAAGAAAACACAGGGAAAATCTCCTTGATGTTGGTCTTGGCAATAATATTTTGGGATATGATACCAAAATCACAATCAACAAAGCAAAAATCAACAACTGGTATTACATCAAACTAAAATTTCTGTGAAGCAAAAGAAACAATGAACAAAATGAAAAGGTAGCCTGTGAAATGGAAGAAAATATTTTCAAATTATGTACTGATAAGGAGTTAGTATCTAAAACAGATTAAAAAAACCTCATACAACTCAATAACAAAAACGAACAAAAAACAAATAATCTAATTTAAAAATAGGCAGAGGACCTGAATGGACATTTTTCTGAACAGATCATACAAATGGTCAACAGGTATATGAAAAGATGCTTAACATTCCTAATCATCAGTGAAATGCAAGTCAAAACCACAATGAGATATCATCTCATACCTGTTAGAATGGCTATCATCAAAAAGACAAGAAGTAACAAGTGTTGGCTAGGACACAGAGAATAGGGAACCCTTGTTAACTTGTTGATAAGATAGTTGTTGGGCAAAAAGTATGGGAAGAAACTAAAAGCTCAAGAGAGAAATTAACTCCAAACTGACAGCTCCTCAAAACAGTGGGAATGTTGCCTTGGGCTAAGATGGTGGAGAAATAGGATGGGGAGACCACTTTCTCCCCCACAAATTCATCAAAAGATCATTTGAATGCTGAGCAACTTCCACAAAACAACTTCTGAACCCTGGCGGAGGACATCAGGCACCCAGAAAGGCAGCCCATTCTCTTCGAAAGGAGGTAGGACAAAATATAAAAGACAAAAAGAGAGACAAAAGAGTTAGGGATGGAGACCCGTGCTGGGGAGGGAGTCGTGAAGGAGGAGAAGTTTCCTAACAGCAGGAAACCCTCTCACAGGCGGGTCTGCGGGGAATCTCAGAGGGCAACATAACTGGGAGGGAAAAACAAAAACACAGGATATGCATCTAACCACAAATCCCAGTGGAAAAGGAGCCTAAATGCTTGCGTCTACCATCAGCAAGCAGGGACTGAACAGGGACGCATAGGTTGCATGCTGATAAGGACCAGGCCTGAATGCCCTGAAGACAATCAGAGGGAGCTAAAGTGAGATAGCAACCCAAACTGTAGGATAGCCAGAGAGAGAAAAAAAGAGAGAGAGAGAGAGAGAAGTTTCCGATGAAAAGCTCTAACCTAAGGCACAGTCTGGCCTGCTCACAGAATAAAGGATTGAGCGAATACCAAAGGAGAGTTAGCCAGTTGTGGACCTGCCCATCTCCCCGCCAGAGACAGAAAAGCAGGCGGGCGACAGCCAGAGCCAGAAGGCGAGGGGCAATCTCCGCCCCAGAGATGGCATCCTCCACCAAACTGTGAGCAGGCTCCCAGTTGCTAACCAAGTCTTCCCGGGATCCTGGACGGCTGACATCTGCCAGGAGGATCACAGCCAAAGATCAGCTCCAAGAGGAGGCACACGGCATACCTGAGGCGGCGCTCTTGCAGTGCACCCAGGAAACTGAGCGGCTGGGACCTGGGAGGTGATTAAGACACAGCCCACCTGGGGAGAGTGCACTCGCCAAGCACCTGGACGTCTGAGCTGCTCCAACGTGGGAAGGGCACAAAATGCAGGCCCCAGCGAGTCTGTGCCTTTGTGGAGTACCCGAGAACCTAAACCTGAGCGGCTGAGACCTGGGAAGTGCACAAAACCCAGGGCCTGCTTTGGACAGGTCCCCTGCAGAGCAACCCGGAGCCTGAGCAGTGTAGATGGGGAAAGCACACACACCGTGAGCGGGGGCAGACCCAGTGTGGCTGAGACACTGCGGACACTCCCCACACGCGCCAGTGATGTTTGTTTGCAGTGTCCCTCACTCCCCACAAGACAGCTGAACAAGTGAGCCTAAATAAGTGACCACCTTCGCCCCCTTGTGTCAGGGTGGACCTTACACACTGAAGAGACCTGCAAACAGAGGAAGCCAAAATAAACAAAGAGGGAACCGCTCTGGAAGTGACAGGTGCAACAGATTAAAACTCTGCGGTCAAAACTAAGCATTGGAAGGGGCCTATGACCTTGAGAAGAAGTATAAGCAGGAACAAGGAACTATCTGAAACTGAACTGATCCCACATTGCCCTCAACAGCTCCAGAGAAATTCCTAGATATATTTTATTATTATAATTTTTAAAAATTTTTAAGTTCTTTATTACTCCTTTAATTTTCATTTTTACAACCTACTATTACCTTGCAAAAAAAGACCCTATTTTTAAAACAAATTGCATATATATTTTTTAAATAATTTTTGTGATCGATTTTGTTTTGTATTTTTTAATTTGTATTTTTGAGCATCTAACCTCTACTCTAGAATTTTAATCTTTGTTTTCTGGTATTTGTTATCAATTTTTTACCTTTAAGAATCTAATCTTCAGTACCCATTTTTACTTAGGGGTGTGATTACTGGCCTGATTGCCCTACCCCTTTTTGACTCTCCCCTTTTCTCCCTCAGGTCACCTCTATCTCCTCCCTCCCCCTTCTCTTCTCTACTTAACTCTGTGAATCTCTCTGGGTGTTCCAGACTGTGGAGAACACTCAGGGAACTGATCACTGGCTAGATTTGTCTCTCCCCTTTTGACTCCCCCTCTTCTCCTCCCGGTCACCTCTATCTCCCTCCTCCCTCTTCTCCTCTCTATGTAACTCTGTGAACCTCTCTGAGTGTTCCAGACTGTGGAGAGCACACAGGGAGTTGATTACTAGCTGGATTGCTCTCTCCCCTTTTGATTTCCCCTCTTCTCCTCATGCAAAGAGTTGACTCATTGGAAAAGACCCTGATGCTGGGAGGGACTGGGGGCAGGAAGAGAAGGGGATGACAGAG